TGCCCTGTAGAAATCTCCGTCCAGTTCAGTCCGTGCGGAGACGATGACGATGAGACGTACCACAACAGTCTGGCGTGTGACGGCACAGAAGACTGCTCATCGGGGGAGGACGAGGCAAACTGTGACGGTAAAACTTCTTACAGTTCTCACAGTTCTCTCATTTGAAAATCACACAACAGTTTCAGGATCTTTTTATTCCAGCATTTATCACATGACACGCATGGTAACCCGAATTTTCGCCTGTACAGCTCCAGTCTTGGTTATTCCTTGACAAAGAGTTCTGCTTATTACTTGACAAAGAGTGGAGTTGTACAGTCGAAAATTTGAAATGTCCAATCCCGAAAAGTCAAATTCCTTAAAGTCAAATCCCAAGAGTAACAACACCAACTATAGCTATTACCGACACGACCCCGCGCATTTACCGCAGTGTTCTTGCGGGATCAGAGTGTGCCACGTCCCAATGCGTCTAAATTCGTGACATTTCACCGAAACATCCAACCTACAGGACAAACTCACGAACGCCCCATCGTACCCCAGTTGACAGGCTATGCCTGTTCCGAAAATTCGAGATGCAGTGCCGGTCGTGATGCGTCATGATGATTGTGTCTACCGCACCCTCGGACGCATTTGGCTCGGGATGTGTCCACGCTGGCGCCGTGTACCCAAGCGCATTCGCAGGCGATTTAGTGATGGCTTACACGAACGCTACGCCGACATTACAGTTTAAACTGCTTCATGACACTCTGTGTTGCTCTGTGTGTTTGCTGCAGATTGCGCACTGGAATGCCTGACTGTGACCAGTGACTCCTGCATCCCGAGTAGGTGGGTCTGTGACGAGCTGCAGGACTGTCTTGACGGGACAGACGAGCGGGGGTGTGTCAGAGGTGGGTGCGGGGCACGTGGCAAGGTTTAAAGTTGAAACTTTTGATCCAACACAAAGAAGTTCTCTCACGTAGAGCTTTAGACCAGTGGGGTCGTGTGGCACAGTCGGTAGCGCGTTCGGCTCACAACCAAGAAGTCGCGGGTTCGAACCCTGCCCATGCCATTGATCTTGTGCCCTTGAAGGTCAAGGCACTTTACACGACTTTCTTCACTTCACTCAGGAGGAAATGAGTACCTAGCTTCGGTTAGGGACGTCCCTCGGATAGGACATTAAATGGAGGTCCCGTGTTTGGGGAAAGCCACACCCCACTCGCGTTAAAAAAAACTCACAGCACTTATCGAAATGAGTAGGGGACCTTGCCGGTGTGAGTGGTTCAAACCTTACAGTCCGGTCTTATGCAGCTTGTACATGTGCGTACATGTACAAAACTGGTATGTTACGACTAAAGGCGGTTTACCGGTTATGCGAAACAAACAAACGTTAACAATGGGTCAAAGGTATCTGTTAGGCGATGTCGGGCGCCGTAACGAGGTTAAAGTTTTCCCCTAGACCATAAGTATGGTCGAATATGGTGGCGCCCATCTCCATTTCGTTGCCATTGGGCCACATAATTGTGCAATCACTACAACAGGGACTAGTCCAATGGTAGTCTATGTTTAACTCCCATACGCTTTCTCAAGTGCTGAGTGCTAAGTAGAGAAATCAATATGTGCCATTTTTGGTAAGATCTTTGGTATGACTCAGTCAGGTCTTTTATCCTTGTATATTTGCCATGCTCTAGCTGCGTTGTATACTTTTCCACGACAGGAGTACCCAAACACTGCTTTTTCACCTGCGTTGGCAACATGACGTGTCTGCCGACCGGTCAGCTGGGGGACGGGAACCAGGACTGTGCTAACGGCGCGGACGAGACACCCGTTCACAGTAAGTCACAGCCAATGCCAAAATTGTACCTTATCTAAAAACCGTAGTACAGTCATTCTCATACATTTTTCAAATTATTATTATTATTATTATTATTATTATTATTATTATTATTATTATTATTATTATTATTATTATTATTATTATTATTATTATTATTATTATTATTATTATTATTATTATTATTATTATTATTATATCATCATTATTATTATTCTTGTTGTTGTTGTTGTTATTATTGTTGTTGTTGTTGTTGTTATTATTATTATTAATATTATTATTATTATTATTATTGTTGTTGTTGTTATTATTATTATTATTATTATATATTTATTTGCTTGTACTTACTATTGGTGTTGTTTCAATTGTTGTCATTGTATGTATTATTATTATTGTCTGTATGTATTATTATTATTATTATGTGATCAGGGAGTTGTAAAGGCACTCAGGCCTGTTTCCCATGGCCATTTCTTATATGTAAATATATGTAAAAATAAAATTAAAATAAACATGCGTTCGGTAACGCGCCATGCATTCCCTTAATACAGTTGAGAAGGCCCTGGCGCACAAGTGGGGTTCCTGCGGCTACACCTGCACGTCTGTCTTCGGTAACGTCATGTATTCTTGACGCGTCACGCGTTCGGTAACGCGCCATGCGTTCGGTGACGCGTCATGTGTTCTGTAACGCGTCCTGCGTTCGGTAATGCGTCATGTGTTCCTGGCGCGTCATGCGTTCGGTAACGCGTCATGTGTTTCTGTCGCTACAGTTGAGAAGACTCTGGCGCACAAGTGGGGTTCCTGCGGCTACCTCTGCACGTCTGTCTTCGGTAACGCGTCATGCGTGCCTGACGCGTTTGTCTGTGACGGTGACGCAGACTGCTGGGGGGACGCGGACGAGCGGGACTGTGATTTCGGTGTTTTTATAGGTATTAATTGTTCATATGCACATATATACAATACATAATGAAATAATCTTCATATCTTCTATATTTTTCTTATCTTCTTAATAAATCTTTTAATCAAAGAAATCTTCAAGACCTATATTAGATAGAATGTATTCTCAATATTTTGTTCTTAAGACTTTTACGTTATTCCTTTGTCCTTGTATCCTATGTACTATGTTACTCAGTATATATATGTAACATCATACTCTGATGTATGCGTTTAGCCCCATGGGCATAAACATGAAGATAAAGATTCTTTAAGTCGTCGAACCCGAGACCCGGGCCCGTACCCGAGACCCGGGCGTGCTGCATTTAGACCCACTGGGGCATGAATTAAGGGTTAATGACCCGCCCCGAGGTGAAAGTTGCTATAACCACCGAATAAAGCCACCGAGTGAGCGCAGCGAACGAGGTGGCTTTATGAGGTGGTTATAGCAACTGGCAAGGCTTTATCACACCATATTCACCGAGATAGGACGGACCATTAACGCTATTATCACATAGCTTATCAAAACTTACAGAGTAAGAGTGATATATTCCTGTATAACATATACAACTTTATTGTCATTGTCATTTTAAGTCGTGGAACCCGAGACAGCAGAAGACTGCGGGACGTTCTACTGCACCTTACCCGGCTCCCCGGACCCGTACTGTGTGCACGGCCACCTGGTCTGTGACGGGCACCCGGACTGTGCGGGAAGGGAAGACGAGCAGGGATGCGGCGGGGACGCGCAGGATCCAGTAAGACTGTTTTTATCTGCATGAAAAATGGAGGTATTGTTTTTGGCGCGTCTGTGTGTGTGTGTGTGTGTGTGTTTGTGTTTGTGTGTGTTCTCCCTCTGCAATAGGCTACATGATCATATGTTGACCATATCAACGTTACAGCCTGACCTATTTCAGGCCAAAGGTGCTACTGTGTGTTTGAAAACAAAAACCTGTGTTATTTTGTTCTGTACTGTAGTGTACTGTGTAAAAACATTTAGAAAAACTTCATGGAGGTATGAGATCTCCGAATTCTTGTTTTATATGAAATTTACAATTCATGCATAGACATGGTGACGGCACACTCAAGTTATAACATTTTATTTTATGCCGCCACCAACGCAGAGGACAGATACAGGACAGGACAATACTAATTTTCACTTGGTTAGGAAAGCTGTGCAAAATGTCTTTTCCGGTCAAGGGCACAAGATCGATGGCATATCAAAACTCGAACCCGGGACCACTTGGTTCCGATTCGAGCACTCTGCCGTATGTATTATTTTATGTTCTGCCACATGCGATTGTACAAATCAGAGTAATTCAGCCAGCTTGTTGTATATTTATCTCATGTTGCGAGGCTGATTTTCTTAATAATAAACTGTAAACTGCAGGACGGCCGTACCACACCGAGCATCGGGCCGACCGCGGAACCGACAAGTGGTCAACAACAAACGTTCCAGGATCAAACAGGTACCAAAACCAACATTTATCCTGCAAAATCTAGACTATTCCAATCCACCGCAAGGGTTTTTTTGTTAAATTATATTTCTAATATTTTAGAATTATTTCAAATTTCTATTTCATGAGCATGTTTTATGGCAAATTTTGAAAGCTTTTGACTTTTTTCCGGGATCCGTTCGTTTGGTTGTTTTGTTTTTATTTATTCGCACATATTATACACATAATATATAATAAAAGGAAAGACATAAAATGTACAGAAGGGGGTAGGAATCCTAGTATGCTTATATTGAGCCCGCCTCCTTTAGACTTAACAACTAAGAATGAATTCATTGTTTTGACCAAATGTGATGATGTCTTGCATTGTGTAAATTTATGCTGGGCCCCATTGGAAGGAAGCTACTACTACAAATGTAGCTGAATGGGCTACCCGGCAGTTTTATGATGAAATAGATAAATAAACAAGCACTATTTTCATATAAAAAAGAAAGTAACGGAAACAACGATATTGCAAACTAATACATGTAGATACTTCAACAAAACAGTTCACAGTGACTTTGGACTGTTGTTCAGTTGCAGGGTTCTATGCCCGAAGCTGCGCTGCCCAGGTCCAGGCGATGTTTGCAATGACAGCCGCTTTACTCGGTGGTCAGGTCATGTATCGCAGGGTGGTCTGATCAATAACTAGAAAATTAGATTCATATTATATATATATATATATATATATATATATATATATATATATATATATATATATT